TCAGAACAAAAATAATGTACATTCCTTGAATACAATGTACATTATTTTTGTATTAAATGTACATTATTTTTGTACTGAATGTACATTATTTTATAATAGACAAAATATAGTCCACACAACTTGTGTAGACCATGGTCCATACAATAATGATTAATTTTTTAAGTATTGGGTCTATTTTGGATCTTGGGCTACTTAATTTTACCCATCATCCCTTTGTTTCATTTGGGTCTTTAGTTTATTCCCCAAATGAATTACTTCTAATTCATTGATTGCATTCATTATTAAATTATCATTTAATTTTGGGTAAATATTAAGTTTTAATTTGCTATTTGAATTTTAATTTAATATTAAGGTGCATATTAAATTGTCTCAAGTGTTACAATTTATTTAGAGTTTATGAGTTAATAATATATTAATGTTCAGATCCAAGCATGTTGCGTATATTTATAATCGTTTTATTGTTATAATATACATTTAAAAAAACATGCATTAAAGTTGGATTTAGCATATTATTAACTCATAAATTCATTACTAAAATATCATTTAATTTTGGATCCTTAGGTAATTTTAGGCATTGTGACCTACTAATGCAGCTTGTTGGTTTTACGGCTCTTGGGTGCCGGTCGGCGGGCGAACACTACCGTAAAATACTATAAACAAGAGTTTATGTGGACAGAGAATGAAGTAATGGAGAGAATAAAGTGATATTATTTCTCTAAGGCTTTGGCCGCTTAAGTGCCAAAAGAAGCCAAAAATGATGGATCCCCGTACACGATGATCCTGGGGGGATATTTATACAAGAATACAAACTCGTACAAGGAAACCCGTACAAGGAAAATAGGGAGGTGTAGAGCCAAGATCTACAAGGAAAGTAGGGCTGACGTATGGCCGAATCAGCTAAGGAAACTGGCATCTTGTGACAACCCAAAATTTAATCTATAAATTCGTTTTTAAGAAATTCCAAAATAGTCATTTTTCACTCTACCAAAATTTTTATGACGAAAACGGTTTTGGAATTAATTATTTTGAATTATATTTTAAATGAATTCAACACCGGGGCTTATTTTAATTCTAAATCTTAAATTTTCGAGTACATTACGTACCAAGTTTTTGATCCAAAAGTCAATGTGAGTGAAACCGGGAGAAATCTGAGAAACCTAAACCAAGTGTTTATTTAGAAATCATTTTTGAAAAAATCTATTTTGGCCCCCAAACTATTTAAAAGCTATCTTCCTAGACTTGGTCCATGTAGCAACGTGGACCACAAGCCTTCACTTCTTTGTCTGATACATTGTAAGAGCCAACCAAACTACCATTTTGCCCTCCACCAATCATTGTTGATTCTTCTAGGGTTTGGAGTCATTATAAAATGAATAGTTATCAGACTTTTGCCTCTTGATTCCATCCTTGTCTTCTCACCTTGAGCTCTGCAAGATTCAAAGGAAAACACAGTAAGTTTCTAAGCCTAATCCCATCCATTCATCCTCTTCCCTTCTAGCTTCAATTTCTTAGCTTTCATCTCTGAGATTCTAGTTTTTAAGGGTGGTTTTGTGGCTTGTTTGAGGTGTTTAGGTGGTGGATGGGGTAGTGGCTGACTTGGGAAGAAAGATGAATCCCAACAAGAAGAAGAAGAGACAACAAAGATATAACCCATGGACTCCCACCTCTTATTTATGACTCTGTGAAGTCAAGATGTTAGTGAAAATGCTTAGAAATGCTAGATTGTTGATGTTTTTGAGCTATTAGTGATCTATTGTTGATCTATGATTGTGTTGTTGAGGATTTGGGAGTGTTGGATTGCTAAAAAATTGTTGCAAGTGGAGAAGAAATCTCTCTGGTGCACACTGTCTGTGCACCAGACTAGCTCACAGAGCTAGCCAATGGCCCTAGGCAGGGACCGTTGGCTAGTCCCGTGGAGGGCCGGCTCTTGGGCATGGTTCTCGGCTAGAACCGTGGCCCAAGGTCGCTGCTTGGCGGAGCCAAGTAGCGGGGCTCCTCAAGCCCCGCCACAAGTTTTGCCAGGCCAAATCAGTGTAGTGGTCGTGCCTTCTGTGGCTCAGCTACGTGTCGTTCGGTCCGGGACTCGCGGGCCCTTGAGGCTCGAACACTCGGGTTCGTTACGACGCACTAGTAGATTTTGACTTCGTTGAATTTGGAGTTGAAATGAGTAAATTACAGTAGATTTTGGGTTGAGAATTGTTATTGATGTGCACTGTGTATTATTTACAGAGAAGGAAAACGTGAAGTGTTTGAACTTAGCTATTTGAATGAGAAGTATGATCATTATTTGATTGTTGGATTCAAAAGCATGATCATTATTGACAAGTTTGCTTGTTTAGCATGTCTAAATATCCATTGCGAGTTATTGAGGATTTTGTCAAGAATATGAGATATTTGGTTGTACAGTACATGAACTTATTTGTTCAGTAAAGTGAAATATTAGAGCATGATGTCTATTTTGAGTTCAAAGAGCATGATCAATACTTGCGATCAGGTTCTAGCATGGTTTAAGATATCAAACTATACCGATCTAGGGATCGGATCACACCAATCGGGAGATTGGATTTACTTACGATCTAAGGATCGAAACTAACCAATCAAGATATTGGATTTGCAGGGAAACTTACTAATCAAGTCTTACCAATCAAGAGATTGGATTTTGTTCACGGTTTAGGGATCTCAACTGAACATATGGATCACAACCAGGAATTCATTTCCCAATGCCCTTCGCACGGACCAACTGGTCGCAACCGGTTCGAGTTCGGTCAAACCCTGACCTAAATTGCTAGACTAAAAGATCGTTCTTAGCCGATCATGCTTGGTTGGTTTGGATTACCGCATTAACGACCTATGACTTGTTTTGGAAAACAAAAAATTATTCGACCGGGATGATTTCTCCCTTGTGCACTCGATTTACGAATCGAGAGTCCTAGGCACAGGGATATTAGGAGACCCGAAGGTCTAACGATAGCGAGATCCGCTTTAAAAACAACAATTAACTAAATGGGGAGTCTTCCCCTTTAATGCCCGGTTTATGAACCGAGAAGGGACTCCATAATCTCTGTTGGTTTGACATATTTGGTTGTTGTATGCAGACGAAACTTGAAGGAATTTCATAAGCATAGAGTGGGGAAACCTTATTTCTCTGCTGTGGAATATTTGAAGAAGAATTCTTGGCTTAATGCCGAGATATCTGAAGTTAACATGAGGATTATTTCTTCACTAAGTGGAAATGATTTTGATACAATGGATATTGATCACACAGGGGTGATTCACTCTGCAAGTAAATCAGTTCCTAGCGACGGAGGGATGTGGTGGTGGCGGTGAAGTCTTTGGGTCGAGTAGAACCACGGAGGTGGTGGAGAAGAGTATGGCTTCCCGCTCTTCCTTCGGCGTTGCATGTGTCTTGTATGGCAAAAGCTTGTAATCGCATTGGTGCCACGCAGATTGTGGGCTTCAAGAGCCGCATGTCAGAAATGGGCATTTGGAACCCAGGGCACAGCAAATGTAGTCTCATTGTGCTACATGTGATCATCCTTCTTTTTGGATGCGCAAACAGAATCCAGAATGGTGAAGTTGCAATAAGCAGAGAGGATAAACTAATAAGCAGAGCGGTGCAGCAGTTGGGGTGTTGGCCTAGCAGTCTTAGCACCTGGGTTTGAAACCTCCTCAATTTCCAAAATACCATAAATTTTTCTTTATGCCTTCGCAAAGTTTTTAACCTTGGCGCCGATTAATCGGCGCCTTGCAACACTGGTTTCAACCTTATCAGCACGTATATATACTTAGACCAAACGACGCCGTATAGAACTAAGCGTACATGAACCCTAACATATCTCGGATATTCAGACCGGTCGGATGCGTTTTTTGACCCCCCTCCACCCGAACCATATTAACCGAAGCCGTTTCCTATGACGGATCGGTTTATGCTTTATGGGTTCGGTTCGCTTTGGGTATGCGTAGGCGGATTCGGATCGGGCGGGTTGATCGGGTTTCTCGATTTTTGCACACCCCTACCGGCTGCAAAGAGAGAGCGTGAACGTATAGGGAGATCATACCGAGGAATATTCCCGATCAAAAATTTAATATTTGGACTATATTTCAACAACAAATTATTGTGTAGACCATGAATGTAATATACATTTTTTAATATATTAAAAGTACATTATTTGTATAATGAATGTACATTATTTGATATATATAAAAAATCATGTATTTTCAAATAATGTATTTTATGTATATAAATAATGTACTTTTAATATATTAAAAATATATACTTTTTATTCATGATTTACACAAATGTGGGCAAATTATATTATGCACCGCGGTGCATAATCAATTATGCACCGCGCGTCTTTTTTTTTTTTAAAATGAAAATTAACAGTGTTTGTTTCCGCCGTTTCACACCCTTTTGCAAAAAGTAACTCTGTTATTCACTGTCATTTTATACACTGCAGTTTCAGTTGAACACAACTACAGTTTTATTTCGATATACCTATAGTTTCATTCGATATTTATAGACTCAAATATGTGAAAATGTTATTTAATTTTATTTTATATACACTATAGTTTCATTAAAACACAACTACATGATCATTTTGATATAATTACAGCTTCATTGTACAATATACACTCAAATATGTGAAATGTTATTCAGTTTCAGTTTATATACACTGCAGTTTCATTTCACTATAACTACAGTATCATTTTGATATAACTGCAGTGTCGGTTTGAATATACTATAGTGTCAGTTGGTGTCTAATACACCAAACAAGCGGACTCCGTTAACTCTAACGGCGAGCCGTTTCTTTATTTAAAGAAACGGCGTCGTTTTTGACCGCGGTGCACATGCACCGCGGTCTATAATATAACGACTGCAAATGTGTGGACAATGGTCCATGGAATAATAATTGTATTTTAACTTGTTAATAGTATTTTTTTTATTATTAATTAGGAAGTAAATAATAAAAAAGAAAAAGAAAATTATAAATGATCAGCTTTAACGTACGTAGAAAAGTCAAAAGAAGAAAGAGAACCGGCGTGAAGGCAAAGGCGAGCTCCGGAGAAGTGGACGGCCGTGACTCCTCCGACCCCCGTTTTGTACTCTTCCTCGGTGCCGTGTTTTCGCTCAAACCCTTTTTTGTCCATTTCTACCTCTTTCTCGCTCCGTGAACGCCACTCCCCTGGCTTCTAGCTCGCCGTCGCACTACTTTTCACTTCCAATACTTCACGGTAACAACTCTTCTGCTTTTACTCAACTTCTTCAATTCCTTTCTCCTCTATTTATAGTTTCAATTCGCAGCTGCATACTTTGATTTGCTGCCCTTCTTCGTCTACCTGTAATGATCTTTTGCTTCGATTTTTTTTTTTTTTTTTTTTCTGGTACATAAAACGGGATGATTGATGAACTACCTGGGTTTATGAATTGATTATCTGCATAATAACTGTTTGCTATTTTGTGCTTGTGAAAATTCCTTTTAATTTCATGAATTTTTTTTCCTTGATTATGTAATAACTTATTATTTCTTTGTTTTATCAGTAAAGAAGGGGAATGGATAAAGATATTAAACCGGCCACATCGGTGCCTCCTTTTGATTACGAGCTTTATGAAGGAGATCCCGACCATCTTACAACTGTTGTCGCGACCCCTGCTCTGCCCAGTCCGTATATCGACCCTGTTTCACTAAAGCTGAAACACAGGATTGGGCGTGGATACTTTGGGGATGTTTGGTTAGCTACACATCATCATACAGGTGCTGATTTTGATGAGTATCATGAAGTGGCTGTGAAGATGTTGTATCCTATAAGTGAACATCATGTGAAGCACTTTACCAGTAAGTTTGAGGAGGTTTGGATGAATTTGAAGTCCAAACAAGTGCAAGGTGTTTGTTGGTTGCATGGTATGTCTGTTATATCGGGAAAGGTGAATTCCTCATCTGAAATTGTACTTGGCTTATAAAAGTTTCAAGTTTTCTTGTTGATACCTATTTTTATACTTGATTTACCTACTGTTTCTTGATAGCTCTGCATAGCGATGAAATTCTATGAGTGGTCGATAGGAGACCAAATTGCCCGACTAAAAGGAGGAAAGCTTCCTTTATCTGATGTTTTGAGGTGATGGCATATATTATTGTTCATAGAGATAAAAGTTTTCATGGTGGAAGTTGATATATGCTGACGGAATACTAATGCCTTACAGATATGGGATCGAATTGGCTAAAGGGATCCAAGAGATGCACTCAATGGATATCCTTGTTCTGAACCTTAAGCCAACTAATTTCCTTTTGAATGAACGCGATCAAGCTTTCCTTGGTGATTTTGGGATCCCGTATTTACTTCTTGGTTTTAAACTACCTGATTCAGATTTGGCTTTCAGACTTGGAACCCCAAACTACATGGCTCCTGAACAATGGCAACCTGAAGTAAGAGGTCCAATAAGCTATGAGACTGATGCTTGGGGATTTGGGTGCAGCATTGTTGAGATGTTAACTGGTGTTCAGCCTTGGTTTGGGAAATCTGTTGAAGAAATATTTCAATCAGTTGTGATAAATCAAGAAAAGCCACAGCTTCCAAATGGTCTCCCACCTGCACTTGAGAGTGTTCTCTGTGGCTGTTTTGAATATGATCTTCGCAATCGACCTTTGATGCTGGATATTCTGCAAGCATTTGAAAGGTCTCATACTCCCATCCATTTCCCTTTCTTCCCTGGAATTCCTATAAGAATAGCATGATTTTATGTTTCAGTTGAATATCTTTGTCTGCTCTAATGAAATCAATCCTCTATCTAGATAGATGCTGCAGCTTAACTTTGTAGCTTACCATAGTGAATATGTTGGATGAACCGCATACCTTAGTTGAAAGTTTATCCTCTCAACTTATGTGGCATATGCTTATCTTGATTAGAATTGGAATTCTTTTGTAGCAGTACCATTTACCTGAGAAGCTACATAATAAGAAGATTAAGATGGACACTGTCACAGATTGTTAAATAGTTAACTGGTCTACTCTAAGTAGTATATGTTTGATGATTACAGAGTATTATGTGTGTGTTATGTAGTATGCTACTACTGAAAATTCTGCACGTGCATCTCAGGGGTGTGTTGTTTTTATTTGGGTGGGGGGAGTTTTACACTATGTGTTACAAATTTTTTCCTGGGCATATGATGTGAAAAATCTGAATTTTGTATGTTGTTTTTTGCGAAAAAAACATTCTAGTTTCAGAAAATGAGATGTGCAATCTATTTAGTTTTCCTGGAAAGTTGTGTAAAGTGCTTTAACTCAAATTTGCAGTTCCAAGAATGCTGTTTACAGTGAAGGTGAGTGGATTGGCCCAGCGAGCACCCTGCTTGTAGAAAAACCGAATAGCAGTGGGTATACCACTTGGTTCCTCTTAAAGGATCATCTTCAAGTGGGTGATACTGTCCGCTCAAGAAAGGGATGCAACTCATGCAAGCCTCAAAATATGGCTGTAATGGAAGGAAGTATAGTTGGTCTAGAGAAGGACACCGATCGAGATGGATTTGTCCTGGTGCGGCTCCCCACTTTGGGAAGCCCTTTAAGGGTAAGTGTATCAACTCTAGAGAGGGTCACAGATGGGTTGGCTGCTGGCGATTGGGTACACATGAACAAGGAAAATAAGCAGCACTCAGCGGTGGGTATTCTGCACTCCATACAGCGAGATGGTATTGCTACTGTTGGTTTTCTAGGTTTAGAAACATTGTGGAAAGGACGCGCTTCAGAGCTCCAAATGGCAGAGCCACTTAGTGTGGGGCAGTTTGTTAAATTGAGAGAAAGCGTGCTAGCTCCACGTTTTGACTGGCCTCAGAAAGGTGGAGGGGCATGGGCTACCGGGAAAATATCACAGATACTTCCCAACGGTTGCCTTCTCGTTGGGTTTCCAGGCAGATTTGTGCTTGGAAATAAACCAAACATCTTCTTGGCCGATCCAAACGAAGTGGAGGTTGTCTCTTTCGATACATGCCCTGGTCTCCTGGAAAAATACCAGCATGTCGAGGATTTCCACTGGGCTGTCCGACCATTAGCAATCACATTCAGCTTATTCATGACAGTGAAGCTCGGTATCTTTGTCGGAAAGAATATCAGCGCAAAGCTGAAGAAGAGCAACAAGAAGAAACAGGTTCCCAGCGATGGCCGCCCTCGAGATGCTGAGGGGGGTGGAAATTCGCCATGGCTTCCACCACCAGTGGCAAACATCCTCTTTAAAGATGGAACTGTTGCTGCTAGGTAACATGTACGGTCGTTCCCAAGATTGTATAAATTTTTAGATGAATCCATGTATCCAGCTGCAGAAAGTGCTTAACTTTCTGGTCTGAAAATTATAGAATGAATAGTTACTTTCAACAACTTTAGTCCCTGCCACAATATGTTCTGTTCTTTTGCGATGACCCTCAAATCTCCGACTCAGTAATCACATTAAATTCCGACTAATTTAGAATCCGTCAACTTTACAGGACCCAGATTGCCAAACCAATTCCTCTATATATATTTCCTTTATATTTCTCTCAAAAGGTTGAATTCTCAATTCCAAGGGCTCTTACACCCCGATCCAACAGAATATGAGTTGGCTCAGCAGACAGAGCCAAAGCCCACTATTGATGTCTTCTTCCCACAGTGCCTATATATACTGTTACCACAATATGTTCTGTTCTTTTGCCATGACCCTCGAATCTCCGAATCAGTAATCACATTAAACTCCGATTAATATAGAATCGAGCTATTACCGTCAACTTTACAGTACCCAGACTGCCAAACCAGTTCCTCTATATATACTGTTAGTTCATAATTACAGTTACCATAGAGAGACAAAAGCAAGAAAACTGAAGAATGAAGAGGTGTAAGATTTTCTCCTCTTCTTCTTCTTCTTCTTCTTCTTCTTCTTCTTTCTTCTAATTATTAATTTATTAATTATTATTATTATTATTATTATTACTTTCTTCTGTTTTCAAATTTCCAAAAGTCTTTTCTCAGAAAATGTATACGCATTCTTCCAGGAATTTCAAGAACAAAGGAAAAGCAGTGGAATATGAATCCGATAAAACCGAAGAAGAAGAAGAAGAAGACGGGTTGAGTCAGATTGCAGAGGCGCCGGTGACTTGCATGACAATCCAGAAACGACAAACCTACAAAAGACGTAAGAATTTACTCTGTTTCTTTAACCATGGATTGAGTAGATTCTGTGTTCAAGAAAATTCATGGTTCTTGGGGGGATTTTCTTTTGGTGGGTTATCAGGCGAAGAGTTTTCCGGCGAGCAATGGAGGAATGAGCAGATGAGCAGAGCAGAGAGGCTGGAGAAGCAACTGAAGACGAGATGGGCGGTTGAAGAACTGATTGAAGAGCAACTGAACCGCTTCCACGCGCAATACAATCAGGCCATGATCCCAACCAGGCTCAAGGACATCGCGCACCTCTTCACGCCGAAATGGGCGCCGCCGCAGGAACTAGCGTCGGCGCTGTCATGGTACGGCGATTGGCGGCCGTCCACTATCCCGGGCCTCCTCCACTCCCTCATCAATTCCTCGTCTTCGTTTTCCGCCGACTCCGACAGGGCCAAAACTGTTATGTCGCAGCTGATCAACGAGCTGCGCGTGGAGGAGGCCGTGATCGACGAGGAAATGGCAGAGATCCAAGCAAACTGCATCTTCCATCTCCCTTTCGGGATAACAAAGAAGAAGAAGAAGAAGAAGAAGAAGAAGAAGAAGAAGAAGAAAGATGGAGAAGAAGCATTAGCCTGTGTTTACACCGAGTTTCGGAAGGTTCATCAGGTACTGACTAAGGCACAAAATCTGAGGTTGAAAGCCATGGACATGGCGGTCAAGAAGGTGCTAAGCCCAACAGATGCTGCAGAATTCTTAGTTGCGTTTGCCAAGATTCAAGATTTGATCCACCAACACGCTATCAACATGAAGCTGACAAATGGCCCAGTTTCTCTACCCACCAAGTAACAGATTGATCAGATAACCTCAGAATCAAACATTATTTCAGAAAATTTTGTACAGACTTGAGATGTATATAATGTCTACTGTTGTTTTGTTTTAGAGCTTTGTTGAACACAGACTTGAGAGTGTTAGAACAGATGAAAAGAAACTCCCTTTCCACTTCTTAGCTTGTTGATGCATGCTAAAGGGCAGAAAATTAAAATAGAAAATGGGTTTTCTGAAGGATGCCTTCAAAGTCCCCGATCGCTATCCGAATGTGTATTTTGAGTGAAGTTTGCCTTGTGATTGTCAAAGAACCATAAAAGGGTAAACCATGTACATTGATAAGCTAAAATCAAAAAGGTTAATAAACAAATTTCACCAAAACCTTATAATTACCAATTAACTGTATTACTAACTTGGCTAACATCAACTGCTGCACAAAATCTTGCATGAGGACTTCCATATTTTACATCATTGCTAAAAAATTTACAATTTTCACTATTCTAACCTAGTCAAAATTCTAACTTTTCTAGTATAAAATAGTCTTTTCAACTATTTTGAGATTCAAATATTCTTTATCATTAATAGGTGTCATGGGACTCGGGAGCCCTTTTTGTTGGGAAAGCTTTGCCCGGGGGAGGGGTGACAGTAAAAAATGGTGGCCCACGAAGTTAAAGGGGTGTGAAAGGAAGTAAAATATTAACAAATTAAAGGTCAACTAATAGGGTTCAAACCAGTGACCTCCAGCATAACAACATGTTAAGATCGTTGGCATCCGGTAGCGGGGGACACGTGTTTGGCCATCCCCTACTTGGGAGGGATATAGCGGTAGTGGGGGACACGTATATGGCCATCCCCGACTTGGGATATAGCGGTAGTGGGGGACACGTGTATGTCCTTCTGATCCCCTACTTGGGATATAGTGGTAGTGGGGGACACGTGTTGTAACAACCCAAAATTTTATTTTATAAATCCGGTATTAAGAAATTTCAAAATAGCCATTTTCACTCCATTAAAAATTTTCGCGATTAATTGGTGTTTGAATAAATTATTTTCGTCACATTTTAAAATTAATTTGACACCAAAATTTATTCTATTCGAAATTTCCTAAATTTTCGGGTACTTCGCATACCAAGATTTAAATCGAGAAATTTATTTGAGTGAGACCGGGAGAATTCAAAAAGACTTTAGACAAGGGTTCATCTAAATAACTTTTTGAGAAAATTCATTTTCAACCCCAAAGTATTCAAAGTTAGCATTTCTAGCCTTTGGGCCATGGAGTATAGTGAACCACTAGCCTCCACCTTTGTCTGATGCTTTAATTGAGAGCCAATAAGATTGTTCCTCTCATCAACCATTCATAAGAAGATCTTCTAGGGTTTTGGACCCTATAAAACTCACCTCTTCCATCCTTAATTTCCTGATCTTCCCTACCTAGCAGCTCAGCAAGAAGTGAAGAAACCAAAGGAAAACACATGGTGTCTAGATGGTGATTGGTTTGGTGTTGAGTAGAATGGAGGCTAAGGTTCACACAAGGAAGAAGAACAAGAAGAAGATGCAACAAGAGGTATAACCCCATGGATTCCTTCTTAAATTTGGCTTTGTGAAGCCTTATTAATGAGTAGAAATGAGTAGAAACTATGAGATTTTGTTGTGTTTATGCTTAGAAGTGATCTAGTAATTGTTTATGAGTTGTTGAGAATGTTTTGGACTTGTTTTGCAGATGAGAAAGCTTTCTGGTGCACACACAGTGTGCACCAGATCAGACTAACGACCCTAGCCGCGGCCCATCAGGAGGGCCGCCAGCTAGAGCCGTGGTTGCACGGGACTAGGGCACGACCCTAGAGGAGGGCCGCCGCCTAGTCCCGATGGAGTAGCGGGGTACATGGGGCGGACCATGAGGAGTCCTGCCCCAGGTCACTGACTTTGATTCTGAGAAGAATTTGTGCAGTGGCCGGACCCTTGTGGCTCAGCTACGTGTCGTTTCGGGCCGAGTGTTACGGGCCCTTGTGGCTCGGCTCTTCCGGACTGTCTCGACGCACGTTTTGGCTTTGATTTCGTTGAATTTGGATTAAAAACGAGTATGTTATGAAGGTTTTATTGAAGAATTGCTACACAAAGTATATATTTGCTAGTTTACTATGTATGAGGAATTATTTGACTATGTGATCTGATGATGTTTTTATTGAGTAAAGAAGCATGATCATTTGAGAATATGATTTATTATGAAAGCATGACTAGATTGTGATATTTGATCAATGAGAAATGAAGCATATTTTGTTGATAGAATGTATAGAATTTGCTATGTTGTAAACCGAGCATGACATTATATTCATAAGTGTTTCATGTTATTTTATACATGGTTTAGAAGCATGTTATAGAGCATTTTGACATTTCGCATGTGTCATATTTCAAAAATGCATAAGGGGCCAACGTGAGCCCAAGAATACTTTCAAAAACCATAAGCATGTGGTATATCATTCTTTGATGCATTGAGAAGTAGTAGAGTTGTTGGATGCATGAGATTGATGCATGAGAGATATATTTATGTATTATCTATATCGGTGAGGTTTTGGAGGATACCGTTTGGACTATGTCCTCTCGGGAGATATTTATGGACATTGCGGTCCCAGTATATGTAACACGGCGTATTCCCACGTTACGAGGTTGGAAACTGCCCGCCAGGCATGGAATCCTGGTTAGGGGGTGTGCACACTAATAGTTCGCTACCTGATTCCACAGAGATAAAACCACGAGATTGGTTCAGTAGACGGTAGGAGATATTGGGTCGGATTTATGCCGTTCCCGATGGGGTAATTCACACATCGGTAAACCCTAAGCCGTCTACGAGTAAAAGAAAGAAGAGAGTCAAAAGAGACTCAAGAAAAAGAAAGCGAGTCAAAAGAGACTCAAGAGAAAGAAAGTGAGTCAAGAGAGACTCAAGAGAAAGAAAGCGAGTCAAGAGTGACTCAAAAGTAAGAAAGAGACCTCCACAGAAAGTACTCTATTTTTATAATGAGTGAATGAGTGTGTATATATATATATATATATATATATATATATATATATATATATATATATATATATATATATATATATATATATAGTATTACACGAGATTGCATATGAGTATGAGTATATTATTGCACGAGATTGCATATGAGTATGAGTATATTATTACATGAGATTGCATATGAGTATGAGTATATTATTGTACGAGATTGCATATGAGTATGAGTATATTGTTGCACGAGATTGCATATGAGTATGTTTATAGTATTGCACGAGATTTCATATGTTTATAGTACTGCACCAGATTGCATATGAGTATGATGTATAAGTATTGCACGAGATTGCATATGAGTATGTTTATAGTATTGCACGAGATTGCATAAGAGTATGAGTATATTGTTGCACGAGATTGCATATGAGTATGTTTATAGTATTGCACGAGATTGCATATGAGTATGACTATAGTATTGCACGAGATTGGATATGATTACAGCTTTGCACAATGTTGCACATGAGTATGATTATAGCATTGCACAAGATTGCATTTGAGTAAAGTATCGCATGAGAGTACATAACGAGAATGTTGATTTATAATCGTTTTGTTGTATCAGAAGTCTTGTTTATCGAATTATGAGATGATAATATGAAAGCAAGAGAATACCTATTATATGGTTTAATAGCATGATCCTATCTGTAAGCATGAATTGTTTGTTAAGTTATTCGAGAAGTTTATATGCTGATAATTTAAGTGATCAGTCTTATATATATATGAGCATGCCAGCTGATATAATAGGGTGCAAGCATCTAGAAAGTATGTGTTAGATCTAAAGATGATTTGAGATGAGTTTATTGTTTATAAGAAATCTAATGTTTTCAAAGTAAATGTTAGAATGCTTTACAGGGTTGAGTGTGCTTATACTTAGCTTCGTGCTAACATGTGTTTTCCTATTTGTCAATGTGTTCTTGCAAAACCCCTTTCAGGTGGGCCCAACAATGAGAAGAGATCGAGTTAGATTAGTCTCTTAGTTTGAGATGTCTAAACTCTAGTTTTATTGATGATCATGTTAAGGAAAGACCTCTAAGTTGAAGTCTTAAGGATCATGATACAAATTGGTATCAGAGCGGTACGAATCACGGGAGACTTAGGAAGTTTGACCCTTAAGATTGAGTATAGAAACTCTAAGTAAAAGTCCTAGGAAGGACAAGTTAAGGAAAGACCTCTAAGTTGAAGTCTTAAGAAGGACAAGTTAAGATGAGAACTCTAAGTGAAATCCTAGGAAGGATAAGAATAGGGAAAGAACCCTAAGTTATGGAAATGGAGGTGAGAAAGACTCTAAGTTCAATGACTAAGTATGAGAATCAGAGTTAAGAGAAACTCTAAGTATCAATTAGGAACGCAGTGAGGTTGTGAGTTCCCTTGCGTTTGCCTATCTGTTTATGTGCTTTATCAATGTGTTTAAAGTGTTTTTGCTTATCTTTTGAAAGTAAAGTAGAGAAGTTAAAAGTGAGAAGTTGAAAGAGAAAAACCAAGAGTTCCAATGTTGAAAGTGAAAAGCTAGAAGTTGAGACTTTGAAAGTTAAAGTTTGAAAGTGAAAGTTTTGTAAATGTTGCTAATGTGAAGAGTATAAGAGCTTCTACTTGATTCTTGTTTATGTGCCTTACTTGTTGTAAGCCTTGCTTAAAGAATAGAGAAGTTAAAAGTAGTTAATTCCTAAGTATCTTGTTGTGCTCATTGTGTCAAACTTCCATTCCAAATCCCTTGTTGTTAATGGCATGATAATTCTTGAAATTTTATCATCGAGTTTGAGCTTATGCTTCTGGAAATTTTCTCGTAGCTTAATATTGATCCCTGAGTCATTCTGACTACTTTCAGTTTGCTTTCAATATCTATCGAAGTTATCTAATGTCTGGAGTTGAGTATGAGAAGTTGTTTTGTTTGAGTTGAGTCTTGAATCATTGCTAATGTCCATTCTTGACATTCCACGATTTATTGTTGAATCGGTATCTAGCATGCTTATAGATTCTTTCTAAGTATTCTTGTGGGTTTTTGTTGACTTGCAATGCTACTATAATTGAATCTTGAAATTAGTAAGATCTTGTTGAAAGCCTTATTCTTGAAATCTCATTGTATTGATTTGAGCTTATTATCCTTGAATCCATATTGTTGGAATCCATTGAGTTGTTGAGGCAAGAT